CAAATTTAAAATTCTACTCTAAAACAGGTAAAATGTATTGTTCAATAAATGACACAGTGTTGTCATCCTTAAAATATAAAGAGCACTCATAAGTCAACAAGAAAAAGACCAAAAAAAGTCTTAATAAAAATATACAAACAGCTTACAAATGTATAAAAATATTTACATTACTAGTAGTTGGAGGTCTCTCATACTAGTTTTCTCTCTTGTGGGGGATGGCATATAACCTTAATAAGCTAATAGGCTTTTAAATGATAATTTTAAAATGAATAAAAAAATTAGGGAGTGAATTACTTAAAATGTGGTTAACATGAAGTATTTAGAAACCTGCTTTACCTCTTCTATTCAGTCTATTTGACTAGTTACTCTTTTCTGTGCCCATTTTGTGGTACTAATTTTAATATGTTTCTCTATATAATTTAATTTTTCCAGAACTCATGAGACCAGAGGTGTGAATAGGGTCACTATTGTAATAAATTCTATTGACACCTGCCCAAGGCTGATAAAGGATGTCAAGTCCTTTAAAGTCTCACTCAGTTTTTTGTCTTGTGTCTTTAGCTAATATTCTTCCACCATGTGCACCGTATTTTTTAAAATTTAAATTCTTTATTGTTGAAAGTATTACATATGTCTCCTTTCGCTAGCCCCCACCCCCTGGACCTCTCCCCAACAACTTTTTTGTTTTGTTTTGTTTTTTTCCTATTAATAAAGCAATTTATTTTTGCTAAATAGACACTAATTAATTTGAACAAATTAATATTGCTAAAGCAAAAACCCAGCAACTTTCTTAATTCATAAAAACATGTATCTTTCCACTGGAATTACCTCTGGCCAAAATATACCGAGTCAGATGCATAGCCTTGATGGAGCACACAGAAGCAAGGCATTCTCCACCGAGAAAGGAATGCACCCGTTTTCCTGTCTCGTGGAAGATTTCCACTTGCCGTGGATAGGCCATGCTGCCAACGATGATACAGTCTTCTTGTTTAGGGTCCCACACAGCTCGGAACCTGGTCAGCCATCGTCCAGTATTGGTGTTGTGCCTGATGGTGGTGAGGAGAGGAATCTGAGAGGATATGCAGCTACTGTCAAAGATTCTCAGCTTACAATCAGCACATGTGGTTACTACTCTGTGACCAGTCAGAGGTGAAAAATAAGCAGAAGCGATGCTCTTTGTGTGTTCAGACAAAGAAATCAAAGGCTGGCTTCCCTTGGGATTCAGGTGCCTTGCATCGTAAATATGAACATCTCTCAATCCTGCAGTTATGAAATACCGTCTATGCACTGGGTGGACATGAACAGTTCTTATTTTGCTCAAAGAAGAAGTGATCAGTTTCTCATGAGAAGTTCCAGGTGTCCGTCTATCCACCAATGACATACTTCCATCCCAGTGTCCTACTATCAAAGTGGAGGCTTCTTCTGCCAAGAAGTCAAAGGAGGAAAAGCTACTTCCCTCGTTTCTATACACCTCTTCGAAAACAGCCTTGGAGAAATCCCCACAGCGTAATGTGCCATCAGAGCTCAGTGACAATATGTGAGCTGGATTGGCAGGTGAGAAGTAAAGACAGCTCACCGGCTGACTATGGGGTTGAAAAACATAAACTCCATCTTCTTTTGGTTGGTGAGTCAAATCCCAAAGTCCAACTTGCCCAGATCTGGCCCCAGCTGCCACCAAAGTTCTAATTTCTGATGGATGAAGAGCCATAGAGAATATTGAACCTTTGGTAACTTTACAAACAGTATCTTCACTAATGACCATGCCACTTAAATTGGCTTTGTAGCTTTTAATGCTCGATAATTCCTTCTCATTATTCTTACTACTGGTCTTGTTCACTTCTGCCCAAGTCTGTAGAAATCCTTTAAGTAGTTCACCGTTATCATCTCGATTTTCAGGAGTCATTTCTAAAGGCCCAGGAGGTAACAAAGGATTTTCATCTTCTACTACTGTTGGCTGGGTTGGGGTTTCCGGTAATGAAACTCCTAAAGGATCTACATTTAGTAATCGCATTGACCTTCTACATCCAATTCCATTTTCTCTCTTCTTGGGCTTCTTTCTTCTGGATTCAGAAGGCTGTCTCTTCGTTATCATTTCACGGAATCTTGCAGCTGACTCAGACAACTGAAGTGAAGCAAAAAAGTTTGCATTTTCTGATATGTTCTTCAGTCTCTTCCTTTCATATGGTGACAATCCTGAAAAATCATCCAGGCCTGATGTATCTTCATCACTGTCTCCATCCTGACTGTCTTCCATCTCGACACTGAGAAGCCCTGTGTCCGACGTGCTCATGTGCTGTTTGTGATTTTCTGTGTGAACATCCAAGGATGATTTTTGCAGAGTGGATTCTGTCTTAGAAGATGTGGTGGCTTTCATCTTCGGACTTAAAACCTCCCTGAAAGTTTTCTTTATTTCGGTCTTCTTATATGTCTTACATGCCGCTTCATTGTTAGAATTCTTATCTAAGATGGATTTGGGGAGCTTAAATGCATCTGGCTTGTAATCACTGAGTGAAAAGGGGACAAGACACACCTTAGCTGTTTTTTCTAAAACTAGTCTCCGAGATACGTCAGCGACGTCCTGGTTTTCTTTAAATTCATGCACCTTAAAGATGCGATGGGATGTGAGGAATATTTTTCCCTTGAATCCTGGTGATTTTGCTGCTGGCTGGTGCCAGGACCTTGCTTTGAAAACACCAGCACTTTTGCTGAGGAAACACTATCTTGCATCGCAAGGTGAGCCCATTTTCCTCCGCTTCAAACCCAGGTAACAAACGAAACCTTTCTTTCTGATCTTCCTCGCCGCCAGGGAACAGCAAACCTCCATCGGAACAATTTCCTGCCAGAAGTCACATCCAAATACTGGGAGACTGAGGACTCCCAACAACTTTTTTGTTGTTGTTTTAAAAAATATATATCTTTATTGATTTCAGAGAAGGAGAGAGATAGAAATATCAATGATGAAAGAGAATCATTGATCGGGTGCCTCCCAGGATCAAGCCCACAACCTGGGCATGTGCCCTGACTGGGAATCGAATGGTGACCTCCTGGTTCATAGGTTGATGCTCAACCACTGAGCCACCATGGCCTGGCTTTGCACTGTTCTGAATGTCTGAGGTTCATGAAACTTCATGAGAATCATGACTCAGCATCATCACTACTGCTGGTGTCCACTAAGACAACATTGAAGACATTGCCAACAGATGGTTTCCCCAATCTGACAAAGTGCCTAAGTGACACTTTTTCAGTCTTTACTAAACCAAAGCTGTGCTGTGTAGACAGGAGAGAGGAGCCTGTACCCTTCTTGACTTTGTCCTATTTTGTCGCCTGGGTAACACTGTGCTCCTCCTTCTTTAGGGAAACAGCTCCTTTACTTTTTCCCTATAATCTTTCTGTTTATCCCAAGGTGCCAGGCCAGGCCCAAGACCAAGTTACACCCTTGTATTCCATCCCAGGTAGAGAATGGTCTCCCAAGCAGCGTTATCTGGACTTTCTCCTCACACGAATGAGTGCAGAGAAATGGATAGTGATGGTTCTGGTCCACTCTGTATCTGTCATGCCCAGATAGGAATAGCTCTCTTTTGGACTCATCCATAATTCACAAGAACACATTCATAGGCTCAGTTAGAAATGAATGATGCTCCATTCCCGTACTTCTTGCTGAGTTTTTCCTTTAGAGATGTCTGGAAGAAATGAGCGATGTTCCATTCTTTTATCTATTTTTGAAAAGAATTTTCACACATGGTAGACACTTAACTTCAAACTGGCGGTACTACTAGCACTTGGTTGACCTCAGCTAACCCATTTTGCTCAACGGCCCTTATTTTCTTTCTCCATATGATAAGTCAGTATCTCTACCTATATTCCAGGGACATGGTGAAGCACAGGCTATAGACTGCACATGGAACAAATGGCAGAGCAGCCCAAGACAGGCAGAGTTGAGTCTGAAAACTGAACCAATGAATCAACTGAAGAGGCAGAAACCTCCATAAGAAAGAGGACTGACCTGCTGAGGGTTTGTCCCTCAGGGAATATTCGATTTACCTTTCCCGCGAAAGTGATGGCAACCAGGCTGGGAACTTGGGATAGATTATTTATTCAGTGTGACAGCCCCTCCTCCTCTTTCTGTCTCTCCAACCCTTTACCCATGACCTTTCCAGATTCTTCAAGTTTTTTAAAAAAGAACTTCATCAAAGAATCAGAATTAGGTGGATAGGCATGGATTACCTGCGTTACCTTTGTTCCTCTTATCTCAGAACAAAGTTTGAACATTTCCCAGGTGATCTTTTTTTTTTTTTTAATTGAGATATAGTTGACATATAACATTATATTAGTTTCAGGTGTACAGTGTAACAATGTGATATTTGTATATATTGCAAAATGATCCCCACAGTGAGTCCAGTTAACATCCATCATCTCCCATAGTTACAACTGTGTGTGTGTGTGTGTGTGTGTGTGTGTGTGTGTGTCTGTAAAAGAGAGAGAGAGAGAAGATGAGGACTTTTAAGATTTACTCTCTTCCCAGATGCTCTTTATCTATGTAAATGAATGGCAGCCACAGCAGCCTTTTTAAAATGGTAAATTTTCTCACCGATGCTCAGAAAAGCACACACGAAAGCTCTGTAGTTCCAACCGCCTGTGTGGCAGAAAGAAAAATGAATTCTTGACAAAGGCCTGTTGATTACAGCTTTCTCTGGTTAAAAGAGAGATTGCTCAATGGGAAATGGGAGGTCGCAAATCTTCCACTGTTGGAACCAAAAGATAGAGTTATAATACCCGAACAAAAATAAAACCTCCTCCCTCCGGGAGCTACTCAAACACCGCACTGCTTGAATAATGTGCTAAGTTAAGCAGGGAGCCCTGCGATGCAGTAATTACTCCAAGGAGGCTGCAGGGAAAGGAAAGTACATTCCAGACACCTAATCATTTACAATTGGGTTTAATGAGGTAATAATTTACAGCTTTGGGGGTGGAAGTATGGAAAGGTCCCTGCCAGGAATCGGGCAGACTCTTTAAAAATCCTGGAGTTTAATGAAGGCGTTGGAGGGTGGACTCATGCAGCCGAACTTGTGTAATTTCATCTGCTCACTGCTTGGACGGGAAGTAAATGACAGGGCACTTGGGACCTACATCTGGAAACAACATGTTTCAAAGGATTTTATAAATCCAGCAGTAAAAGAAGAAGAAGAAGAAAGAAAAACCAGAGGTGAAAGGGCAAAATGCTGGGGGAGGGGGGATGGGGAAGCACAACAGGGAAGGGACATTGCAGGTTCTTTTTAGTGAGAAGAAAGAACATTTTATAACGTCAAGGTCAGTCATTGATAGTAATGGACAAAACACGCTTGTTGGGCCCAATATGAGAACAGGGACTGAAGTTTCCTTTCTGGATAGGATTTGGGTGAAGGCTACAAAGCTGAACTTACCTGGATGCCCCTTTTCCGTCTTCTATTAACATTGCCTGCTTCATTGTCATCGTTTCTAGGTTCATAATATACTGAGTTAATTGTATTTTTCTTCACGGGTACTTTTTAAAATACAGCCAGCACAGGAAGGGAGTTGGTCTTAAAGAGATGGAAAAGGCTCCAGGCACAATTATAGAGCGTGGTGGCCCAAAGTAGCTGGTAGACTGGCCTTCCGTCACGTCGCACCAGTGACTGACATGCATACCCACCAGGATTTGTTTTCTTCTCACTTGGGCTGAAGGTCCTTCCCATTTCATTTTGTTACCCATTTCAACTCTCCCAAGAGTAAACTTTCTGCTCCCAGATTTCCCAATTCTCAAAAACATCCTCTGTTTGTAACCAAGTCTTCTCATGTCTTCCCTCTCTAGTTGTTTCTGAAAGTTCGGAAGAAAGTTGAAGGAACAATGAGGGTAGATGAAATGGAAGAGAGAGGAGCCATTACATTTCTTGGCTTTCAAGAACATGGTTCCAAGTTAAAACTCATCCCATCATCAGGCTATTACTAAATATTTAAGAAGGAAATAATACGTGACTTGTGTGTGAGGCAGGCAAGTGATGCTGCGAAGGGAACTCAGACTCACAGCAAACTATGCTACTTATCACGATAACACAATCACAGTCATGATCACTGATCACAGAGCTGGAGCATTTACTCTGTGCTAAGTGGTTTACATGTATTATTTCAGTCACCTTAAAAGTGTGAAACAGCCCAGCTGGTTGGGTCAGCAGTTGAGCGTAGACCCAGGAACCAAGAGGTTGCCGGTTTGATTCCCAGGTCAGGGCGCATGCCCCAGAGCGACTTGATCCGCAGTGGAGGCCATGCAGGAGGCAGCCAATTGATGACTTCCTCTCTCATCAATGTTTCTATGTCTCTATCCCTCTCCCTTCCTCTAAAAATCAATAAAAATATATTTAAAAAAGGTATGAAACAGGTCATACTTTTATCTCATTTTGCAGATGAGAAAACTAAGGCTTATAGAAGTTAATAGTGCAAGGTCACTGGGATAATGGGTAGAAAGGAAAATTAAAACTCAAACCCTGTCGGATTTGAAAGCCTACAGTTTTTTTTTTTTTTAAATCTATTTGTTTAAAGTATTATATATGTCTCCTTTTTCTCCCATTGACCTCACCCCGGCCACTCCTACCCCCCAGCACATGCCCTCACCCCCTAGTGTCTGTGTCCATTGGTAATACATGCATGCATGCATACAAGTCCTTTGATTGATCTCTTACCCCCAACCCCCACCCCTGCCTTCCCTCTGTCTCTGGATCTATTTTTGTTCATCAGTTTATGTTGTTCATTATATTCCACAAATGAGTGAGATCATGTGGTATTTATCTTTCTCCGACTGGCTTACTAGTATTTTCCTTAGCATAATGCTCTCCAGGTCCATCCATGCTGTTGCAAATGGTAAGAATTCCTTCTTTTTTATAGCAGCATAGTATTCCATTGTGTAGATGTACAACAGTTTTTTAAGCCACTCGTCTGCTGATGGGCACTTAGGCTGTTTCCAAATCTTAGCTATTGTAAATTGTGCTGCTATGAACATAGGGGTGCATATATCCTTTCTGATTGGTGTTTCTGATTTCTTGGGATATGAAAGCCTACAATCTTAACTCCTATGTTATATTGCCTTAAATTTTATGTGTTTGGATAGCAGATTGTAAGGACTTTAAATATTTGGCTAGAAAATAGAGTGATGGTCCTACATCTAGAAAACCATTCCATTCCTCCCAAGGCAAAAAAATTCTATCTTTAAAGAATCTCATCTGATATTTGGACTACTGAATATGGGAAAGAATGGAGTGTTTGTTTTTTTCTCATGTAATACTTTTTTACCATAAATTTTAAAAGCTGGCTCAAAGAGAAGGGGAAATTGGTTTCAAAGCTTTATTTTTCTATTTTCCATATATTAATTTTGAACACAATCTTTGCTGATTCAAAATCATAAACAAGTTTTTTAGCTTTTCAAGATCTAGAGTCAGCTTTTGAAAGTCTGGGCAAAGTCTACACTGGAATAATAATTATTCTTTGGAAAGTTATGTATGCCTACCCACAATAAGAAACATGTGACAAGGTATTTAGCTATGGTTTTAATCCACGTGAACTGGGAAGGACTTTCAAGTTAAATAAATCTTCGCTGTGTGACAAAAACAGGCTTCAGTGCTCTATTGCTAATGCCAACAGTGAAATCTGAGACCAGAAGTGCTAATGAGGGTGGAAAAATTAGAAATTTTTAGCATTAACCTCTTATTTCTCTCTCTCTCTGGTCTGCAGAGTTAACAGCCTGATTAGTGGAATTTTCTTTGGTACTGCTAAATGTATTTCCAGTTTTGAGAACGCTATATTGCTAATCGCAGAAAACCAATCCCTTACTTGGAAAAAGTATAGTTAGTTACCCACAAATAAGGCTATTTTCTCTCTTTAGAAGATCACCAAATGCCTAGAGTAAGAACTCTCCTGTTTCCTGGACCAGTTAATACCAATTTGTGTTGGATTGTTGATACCAGATGTTACTTCCACGATGCCAGAGTGGTGGTATATTTATTACCTCTCAAATAACTTTGGCATGAGTCAAACACAAATTAAAAATAAAAATCAAGTACACTAATGTCCCATTTATCCAGCATGACTGGGAGTTGAGATCTTCTATTAAATAGAGTCCCACCCCCTACCCCTGAAATTTTATCACTTTAAATGCAGGATTTAAACAGCTTGCAACAAGATTTTATAATTATCTTTTCCAAAATATATGATTTATCTGTCACCTTCTTGAAAAGAAGGTAGCCTTATGGTCATAATCTCGGAGTGTGGATTTATACAGTGATTGCCTTACGCTCCCTTGTATTCGACTGTTGCAGGAGAGTCACCGTGGAGGTGTGAGGAACTGTTGAGTTGTGAAGGGCTGTGCTAAGGCTGAATGAAACCACAGTAAGTCAGGTAAGTTCTTGCAAAGGCTTCTGGAAATTTTGTGTGTAAATGTGTGGGGTTGTGCACCCTCTAGCACCGTCCTTGTAGTTGTTTGCTTTTAATCGTCTGTGGCTGGAATACCTAACCCTGAATTTGGGGCTCTGAGAGAACCTGCTAAGGTCCTTGTGTGTAAGCTTGGGCTTTGTGACGTCGGCTTAGGTCGTGTGGTTGCTCCTTTTGTAGATACCCGAGGCTGCCTGATTACTCACCTCTAGGTAAGCAGGCAGTTTCTCTGATGTCATGCTTATTTTGCAAACTATTAAGCGATTTCACAACTCTCTGTCTTACTTCTGTTATAGACCCTACTTCATTGATGATACTGCCATCTATTCCAGTCCCCCCTATCCGAGACCCTGGTTGGAGGATGAAGCTGTGTGGTACATGATTTTAAAGTCAGGTACCTTTGGGTTTGACTCTCTGCTCCCCAACCTGATAATTGCATACTCATAGGCACAGTCATTTATTTATCTCACCTATCCATTTATTTAGCAGATATTTATCGAATACCTGAGATGTGCCAGGCGATGTTCTGGGCCCTTGGGGTAGAGTTTTTGGAGACCATAGCTTAGTTGGGAGAGTTAGGCAGCAGACAAGCAAGTAAATGTATGGAATGTCAAATGGTGGTGGTGCAAAGCACGTGGAGGACAGAGAGTATGAGCGATGCAGATGGGCTCGGGATGTTTATGAAACCTCTTTCAGTGGATGCTTGGGAGGAAAGCCTGATAGGATTGCATTCAAGAGGGAATGGGAAGAATGGGAAATGAGCCACCATGTTTAGTCAAGGTTTTATAGAGGAAGGCAGAGATGTGTTCTGGTAGCTGGGAGGGAATGTGAGGTCAAGTGAGGGTTTTATTTTAAGATCTAGCATTTTTGTATGCGGATGTGAATGACTTAGAGAGGGAAATTGAAGATGCAGGGCAGAGAGGAAACAATTGCTGAAGCAGTGTTCTTGAGTTGGCAAGAGGACTGAGACCTTCCACACAAGTGAAGGGCTTGGCCTCAGCTCAGAGGCCAAGAGTTTACCCAGAGCCACAGGAGGGATGGTGGAGAATAGGGCACACATACCAATCTTTCTTTTTCTATTACTTCTGTTTTCTCAGTGGAAAAGAAAGCAGGCTCATCATCTGAGAGAGAAGATGGGGAGGAAGTGTTGGAGGTTTGAGGAGAGAGAAAAAGGTGCAAACTAGTCATTTTAGAGAATAGGCGAATGAACGAGCTATAGAAATACAGTTGAATTGCCTGGAGGCTGTAAGGGACCATTTGAGAAGAGTGAGCGTCATTATAGATCAGTTATTTTCTTTGTATGCAACATACTCCCCCTCACATCCCCTTCATAATTTCTTTCGCTTGTTCTTCCTCCCTTAGGAAAGTAAATTAGTGGTTTTCTCTTTTGAATTTCCAGAACAGCTTACACACACCTTTATTATTGCACTCTTCAATAGCCCACACTCATGTCTTTACATTTCTGCCTCCATCCTCACCCCTACTCTGTATGAATCTGTTCCCAGCCCCTAGTTACAATACCTTCATATTATAGATTTTTAGGTCAATGTTTTCTGAATGGAGGAAGGAAGGAAAAAATAAAAATTCTTCTTATATCCATATTTACACTCCTTCTAGATGTCCTATTCAGCATTCAAAGGTTAAAAAGAAAATAACCCATTACTTTCTGCATCTAGAGATGGAAGAACAGTGATTTTTCTTGGAGATTCCATTTAATTTCTGAATATTTGTTATTTTTCTTCTGTTATGTCTTAACATTGAAGAATATTTCTTGGCATCCTCTTAACAAGACAAAGTCAAAAAAAGATTTATTTTCTAACAACTGTTTTCCTTCCAGATAATAGCAAATTACACAAAACATTTCTAGGTTAACCAAGGCAACTGAGAAATTTTGACTTTGACCACGGCTGAGGCAATTTGCTGTGGAGGTGGCTGGAGGCACACAGAGGTTCCTGAAGCCAGTGGGGGGCTGTAATTGATTTCAGATGTGCTCTGAATAACACTGAAGATGAACGTCCCAGAGGTAGATTATTGGAGAGCTCTTTAGCTGTTTCTAATAAAATTTTTCTTAAAAATTCCAAGATTTTTTTTTTCAACAGATGCATATAATAATTCTAGCATGAAGTAGTGGTTCTGAATGAAAACTACACGCTTGTTAATAATTTTTCATTTCCCCCTAATTATGAAAGCACTTCATGGTCTTGGTAGAAAAATTGAAAATTATGGATCACTATAAAGAACAAAAGAAAAAGAATCAGTGGATATTTACCTATATATTTGTCTAGTTGAGATCATACGGAATGCAGTTGTGTATATTAATTTTTAATGTGAGAATATACCTTAAGCTTTTCTCTCATTACAAGTTTGTCAAGGAATGAATTCAATAGTCTTGTAATACGGTATAGCAGTGCTGCTGTTTTTCCGTTTTCCATGTAGTCTCAGGGATGCTTAGCAGCGTCTTGGGGGCCACCCCAGGGCTTGGGGGAAGCAGGAATTGGGAGAGGGGCCATCGAGTGGATCGGGCTCTACGCTCCCCTTGCACTTTTCAAATAGCAGCTCCGCATTTCACTAATTTATGTGTTGGATTTTTGCATAAAACCCTCCTTGAAGAAGGCTTCCCAAACATATTAAAGTCAACTACTGGCAAGTCATATATTATGTAACCATTGTGTATTTGTTGCATATCCAGTTTTTCTGTAGTTCAAGTAATATTATGGATAACTTTGTATTTACTATATATATATATATATAATTATATAATATAATAATATAATTAATAATATAATTATATAATTATATAATAAGATGTAATGTCTATAATAATAAAAGTGTAATATGCTAATTAGACTGGGACATTCTTCCGGACGACCTTCCAGATGTCCTTTTGGATGACCTTCCGGATGAAGCTGGGGCTGTGAGGGAAGTCTGGGTCCCAGGTGCCTGCTGGCGGCCAGAGGGAAGCCTGGGTCCTGGGCGTCAGAGGGAAGCCGGTGCCGGCAGCTGGGGGAAGGAAGGCCTACTTTTGCACGGATTTGGTGCATTGAGTCTCTAGTATTAAATATAATTATATAAAATATATTAACCTATTTTGCATTTATAAAATATATGAATATATGATTTTTCATCTGGGTTATATGACTAGATGCAGACCCAGATACTGGGTCAAGTATAGACAGAGTTATGTTGTGCTATGTAAATATGGCATGGAGAATGGCGGTACAACTTCAACTCCTAACAGCAGTGTAGGAAAGGACCTATCTCATAGCACACAAATTACCTTTTTTTGGTATTATTTTCTATTTGTTGGTTGAAAAGTAACACATTACTGTTATTGTATTGAGACTAAACTTTTACTCAATGAATATTTTTTGCTAATATTTCTATTGGAGCATTAGTGTTTTTTCAGTGGATTTTAAGATTTATAAGTATGCTCTGTACATTAAGGGTATTAATCTTTATCTTATTTGTGGCTATTTTTCCAGTTTGTCACTTAAGTGTTATGACATTTAAAAATATCATTTAACATGTTTTATGGAGACTATCAATTATTTGTTTTATGACTCTTTCTATAGCTTTTATACTTGGAAAAATCTCTTTCTATTTACTTAGACATTCACCTATAGTTTCTGCTAGCCCAATAGTTTTATTTTAAAAAATTAACATTAATTCAAAATAGTTTTCTTTGGGTTAAGACATGTTTTGTTTTGAATATATACCTACTTTTTATGTTATTTTCAGTAACCCATGCCAGCCTTATTGAATTATTAATGTTTGAAAACTCAATTGTATTTATATATCCATCTTTTATACAGCCACTTAGCTAAGCTATAGTATTTGCTCTGATAGTTTATTTGAAGAGTTTCTTGGAGTTTCTAAATGGGAAAAATATCATCAGGAAATAGTTATTGTTTTGTTTTTTCCTCTCCAACCTGTATACCACTTATCTCTTTCCTTACCCCTCTGGCCAGGGCATCTGGTATAATGTTGAATAGAAGTAGTGATTGTGCATGTCCTTATCACGTTCCAGGCTTCGAAAGGAATGCATCAGCTTCTCACAATTTGGGGTGATTGTTGTAGCCTTCCTGTAGATTCTGTTTATCACATTAAAGAAGTTCACTTTGATTTGCTAAGAGTTCTTTAAAATCATGAATTATTTTTCAATAAAAATTTTTCCTCACCTGTTGAAATGCTTTTTAAAAAAATGTTTTTCCTCATTTATTTTGTTAAAGTTGATTGAATCACACTAATTGGGATTTCAGATGTAAATTCATCTGAAACTGGGCACTGTATTTATTTTATACATTGCTGGATTCAATTGGATAATATTTTATTCAGGTACTTTTCAATTTATATTTTTAAATAAGACCGGCTTATTTTCCTTTCTTTTAGTACTTCAGTATGCGTTTGGAATCAAGGTTATATAAGCATTTTAAAATGAGTTGGGAAACATTTCTTATTTTCCTGTTCCCTGGAAGAGAATATTTGGTAGAATTAGCCTGCAAAACCAACTGGGCGGGTGTGTGTGTGTGTGTGTGTGTGTGTGTGTGTGTGTGTGTGTGTGTTACAATAATAAACTTCATTGTGGTAGGTTGTTTGCAGAGGTGGATATAAGCAATGGCATGAGATGACTCCATTCCTGTGTAGACATGAAAATCCTCCAATCAAGAGTTTGAGTCTATTTACCTTTTTAAAAATCTGGGCTGGTATACCTTTTCATGACCAACAGAATGCAGCTACAGTTGTGCTTGCTAGTTGTGGGTCTAAAAGGCTGGGAAGCTTCAATTTTGGTTCTCTTGAAATCAGTCACCATGTAAAGAAACTCATGCTAGATTACTGACAGATGAAAGAAGAGAGAGAGAGAGAGAGAGAGAGAGAGAGAGAGAGAGAGAGAGAGAGAGAGAGACAGCTAATCCAAGTCCAATCCTGCCACCCAAATGAAACACTAGACACATGATCAAGGCCACCATGGATCCTTCAGCCCCCAATGAGCTGCCGTAGCCAACACAGTGTGACCTAGAAATAAGCCGTCTATTCTGTTCCTGAAATTCTAGAATCATGAAAAGCAATAAATGATATTTGCACTAAATTCTCATGTTATACTTGGGCCTAGTTCTCTCTCTTACTTAGTGTGATTGGTATCATCTGGTTTCTTTTTTGCCCATCTCTCACATTATTTTTAATATTGTTTCATCACATATTTCAATCTGGTAATGCAATTCCCCTTTCGTATTCTTGTTTTTCAAAATATTGTAGCTATTCTCATCTTTTTTTTTTTTTTTTATTTCAGTTAAACTGCAGACTATTTCTGTCAATTTTTTAAACCCTTTGGAATTTTCATTAGCGTTACATTACATTTATGAATTAGTTGGGGAAGAATCGTTTCATGATTACCTTTACAACCTAAATCATGATTTGTCTTTTCATCGTATCTTCAAATATTTATACATTTCTTAGTGATTTTTATAGTCTTTACATATTTAATCCTCCATTCACTCGTTCATTTATCACTAATTCAAAGGGCACATTTCTTATTTTGCAGCCGACTGCTAGCAAGTGTACAGGACTTTACAGAATGTGTTTTGTATATTAATTCTGTCACCTGATATTATTTTTTCTCGACTTCACACTCTTTTTCTATTTATTTTTACTTCATCGTGGTTCTGATGTATTAGGGCCATCTGGAGTCATACTGTCTGTATACATTATGGCCAACCTTTTACAACCCCGGCTTGCTTGGTCATTGGATGCAGACAGTCCTGAGAAAGGTAGGACGGTGGGCCAAGCAGTTCTAGGCAGATGAGTGTGACCCTGAAGTTGCTGTCAGCTGGAGGTTCATTGCTGGCCACGTTCCTCTTAGCTGAGCAGCAAGTTCAATCTTGAAGAAGAACCTGGGGTGGTGTATTGCTGTGTTCGCCACAGCCTGGCTCTGAGAAACTTGGGAAAGCCACGTCCTTGGCCCAGCCAAATGGGGGTGTACGAGGTGGGTCTCTGTAATATCTGCTGCTTCTTGCCGGTTCGGGGAATTCTCTGTTTCTCTCAGCCACAGCTTTCCCTCTTTTCCCTGATGGGTGTTTATTTAACTTGCTTTAAAGTCACTGGAGAAGCTTGACTTACAGCTTTGAAGTATAGAGTGACGGCAAGCCCCTCAGCGTGTAGCTGTTCGCACATAAGCCACAGCAAGGCCCAGCCCTGACAGAGCCAGAGGACGCATTTTGGGCCCTGGAAGGAGGCCCCAATGTAATTGTGTTCATAGCTTTCCATTTAATTGAAACCTCTTGGTTTGCCACTACCCTTGTTTTCTCTCTCTATGTTGGTTTCGTGGCTTGCAGATTTACATGCAGTTCAAACTCCCAGGCTTTCTGTAAGGAAATAGACCCAACACTTCATTAGTGCCTAGTTGGCTGCCGTTTCCACTTCTCTCCATCTAGAACAGTGTTCTCAACCTTCCTAATGCCGCGACCCTTTAATACAGTTCCTCATGTTGTGGTGACCCCCAACCATAAAATTATTTTCGTTGCTCCTTCATAACTGTAATTTTGCTACTGTGATGACTCGTAATGTAAATATCTGATATGCAGGATGCATTTTCATTGTTACAAATTGAACATAATTAAAGCATAGTGATTAATCACAAAAACAATATGTAATTATATATGTGTTATCCGATGGTCTTAGGCGACCCCTGTGAAAGGGTCATTCGACCCCCAAAGGGGTTGCGACCCACAGGTTGAGAACCGCGGATCTAGAAGCTGATGTCTCTGATATTTTCAATGGGCCCTTTTATCCTTGGAGCAACCTAATCAAGTCCAGCTGATGCATCATTTGAAAAAAGTCCATAAGCAAAACAAAATTATTTTTCTCTTTTTACATTACCTGTTTCTCCAATCATCTCAATTAATTCTCCTTAGGACTGTATTCTAATGAGAGGAAGACAGCTTTAGACATGGAGGGCGGAATAGCAGAATCCCAAGTAGTTTTTTATGAAAAGAAATTATGTAATTAAACAGTGATGTACATTGAGTTTCCAAAGAAATATCTAGTTAGATCCAAACATCTATTTACACTAGAAATACTCTGAGCAACTAATTTAAAACAGTCATCTGCGATCCAGAGGTTTTAAACACCCCGAGGCAATGGCAACTGCTTATGTTATCAGGGCCTGCTTAGATGTGGTGCTACCAGCTTCACCCTAAAAACTCAGTGTATGACATGTCCTTTCCCATTATTCCATTAGGGCAGCGATTTTCAACCAACATTCCAGAAGGATTTTTAAAATCTGAAATACCTGACTATTTACCAATCAGGAGAACTGACCTCTTTCCCCTTAAATCAGTGGTCGGCAAACTCATTAGTCAACAGAGCCAAATATCAACAGCACTTCTTCAAAATAGACTCGCCCAGGCCGAAAAACCGCCTTCTGCGCATGGGCCATGAAGTTTCAATCGCACTGTACGTGCGCCCGCACGTGGTATTTTGTGGAAGAGCCACACTCAAACTCGCGAGCTGCAGTTTGCCGACCACTGCCTTAGATTGTCAAATAAAATAATGAAAATAGCCAACACAATAGCCATTCAGTGTGAATGAATCAAAATTATGCCTACTTTTTTGTTCGACCAGCAAAAATATATATCTTTTGGTGTGCCGCAGAACTTTAGCAATTAGCTTACATTATCATGAGATGAAAACATTTAAAAATCATGGCATTAGGGGATTACTGGTATATATAAGCCTAAATCAATAAGGACCCTAGAGGCTATGGATAACAGGAGACCATGTTCCAGAGGACAGAAGGAAATTCCACCAGCTGCAGTGACCTAGAAGTTGTGTTGAAGCTAAAAGATCCCGACCTACACATGCTCTGCAAATAACGCCATAGAACATGGCAGGTGGGAAATAAGGCAGAACGAGATCTTGACTCACCTCCACTCTCTGGCCTTAGCTTTGAGAGAGGGGAAGGGAGAAGGAGAGAGAGAAACATGGATGTGAGAGAGAATCATTGATCGGGTGCCTCCTGCACGCCCCACACTGGGGATTGAGCCCACAACTCAGGAATGTACCCTGACCTGGAATCGAACCCAGGACCTTTCAATCCGCAGGCCGATGCTCTACCCACTGAACCAAACCAGCTAGGGCTCGATGTTTTTAAAGGCCTATTTCTATAACAAATGTCTATGATTGAATATTAATAATTGTAGTAATATATTGACTGGTACTCTATGTTTTAAGTATTAAATAAAAATACTGTTTTAAGGTAGACCTGTAGCCTTTTGTTTTGTTAATAAGCAGAAAAAGGGAGATGTAAAGGGACGGAGCTAGGAATCTAATCCAATATATATGACTCCACTACCCAGGCTTCCATCCTCCCAGCATCGTCCTTTACCACATTAACATGTGCAAGTCCCTTTCAGAGGCGTTGCGGTCTTTGCTTAGCTGTCAGCATCCTATAAATTTTAGCTGATTTTCTTTTAAAAACAATACTTACTTTTGCCCAGCCTGCGCAGCTCAGTGGTTGAGCCTCGACCTATGAACCAGGAGGTCACAGTTCAGTTCCTGGTCAGGGCACATGACTGGGTTGCCGGCTGGATCCCCAGCAGCGGGTGTGCAGGAGGCAGCTGATCAATGATTCTTTCTCATCATTGATGTTTCTATCTCTCTCTCCCTCTCCCTTCCTCTCTGGAATCAATAAAAATATATTTTTTAAAAATGCTTATTTTTAAGAATGGAAACACAATCTTAAATTTAATCACTATCCTAGGGAAACTAATAAGTTTTGCTGGGTCAATAGTAAAAATACTTATTATACTGACAGTAATAGGGAATGTTTGGAAGCATTTCATTTCTTAAAAACTGTTTTCACATATCCATAATTTGAAACATATTATGAAATTGAAGTTTATAAAACAGCATGTATTTCTGATCCTACTTTTGTTATAAAATATGTTTTCACAAATATATGCAAGTATATGGATAGTCAAATGATAAGTGTATATTCCCAAATGTACACTGGTGAGTTTATGGGTAAGTTGAAATATTTTGAAATAGCTCTTTATTAAAAAATACAGTATTTACGTATTATTTTTATAATCATTGCACTTAGTATATTTTATATTTTTGAAGCAACCTAAAGAGAATTAAAGGCAAAGACAGACAGACATTTTAAAATGGTTAATATATTAATATATAAAGAACCTATGTAATTTTATCAGAAACACATAGGAAACCTATAGTGGAATGGTAAAAAAATTATGACATTTGATCCTCACAATAACCTAAAGTAGACAGATCAGACTTTTAATTTTTTTAATTTTTATTTTATATTATTATTTTTTTTTACAGATGGGGAAACTACAATTTGGAGAAGTTTGAGTGATTTTTCCCAAACTCAAACAATAACTTATAAAGCCAGAACTAAAATTAACATTTTCTGAATATGAACAGGCAGCTTTAGACTCCCGTTTTTTAAGGACAATCAGAGCCAAATAAAACAGCTGCAGTCCTTCGTAGTCAGAAAAATGAGGCGAAAATGCCCTGGAGAAAAATGAAGTCAGAACTTGGAAAATCAAGAAGAGCTGGGAAACTTCCCCCACCCCCAGGTTGCCGGCTGCCGATGGGTGTGCACTTCTGCAATGGAACCAGAGGTGTGAGGACACCCTGAAAACCAGGGGTGTGGTGCCTTTGGGAAGAACCGTGCCAGCTGGCCCACGGCCTCCCACGCTGGAGGGCCGGCCGGTGCCGGGCATGCTCCACGGCCACAGTGTGCTAGCGTGGCTTCAGAGCCAGGCCTTCTCCTGACTCACATAAACACGGCCCTAATGGGCAGCTCCGGAGCCAAGTCTCCATTCCCCATCACACATTTCTGTTGAAATTGTTACTTCCAATCCAGTTGCTTAAAATGGCTTACTGTGCGTTACGAACTTTCATTACTCTCTTGTGTTCAGGTAGCAGCTCCCCCAAGGAGGAATCCGCTCCCCAGAAGCCCTCCTGCTCTGCAGGGGGTGGCGCTCGGCTAGATCAGGTGGGAGTCCTGGGGCTCCCTCGGGTTCTCACGGGCCGTGCTGTGTTGGACAAGCAGCTGGGCTTAGCTCCCACCCTCACCAATCACAAAATAGATCCACATACTCCAGGTGATCCAGGTGGAGATCTGCTGGGGAGGGCCCAGGGGGCGAACCAGGGAAGTCCTCAGCCAGGATGGGTTGTGTAGAAGGAGATTATGCTTTTTCATGAAGTTTGGATTTGGGCTGAGAAGAGAGCAAAAGGACAAACTATGACATTTTGGCGGAGATTTTAAGATGGTTACAGTCAGAGTTGGTCACAGGAGAGATAGAAGGAAGCGGAGAAACAGAGTAATCTACACTAATAAAAGAGAAACATGGTAATTGGCGTACGACCGCTACCCTTCCCATTGGCTAATCAGGGAAATATGCAAATTAACTGTCAGCCAAGATGGCGGCCGGCAGCCAGGCAGCTTGAAACTAACATGAGGCCTGCTTGCTTCAGTGACGGAGGACTCCAACGTTCCCCGCCGGCCGCTGCAGGCCTCTGACCTGCACTTTCAAACATTGTAACAAATATAGATGCCCAAAAACCAGCTTTCAGCCGGCTGGGATCTCAGAGCTGGAGTTGATACAGAGTTTCGATTATAGAACCGAAACAAACCAGATACCTGCTTTCAGGAGCTGAGGCCTAAGAACTGGAGCCTCAGAGCTAAAGCTGGCCCAGAATAAAAAAAAAAAAAGAAAAAAAGGAGCAGTTGGGAGCTTCAGTCCCAGCCTGAAAACAGCCCTCAGCCCCTCACCCAGATTGGCCAGGCACCCCAGTGGGGATCCCCACCCTGAAGGGTATGTGACCAGCTGCAAACAGCCATCATCCCCTCATCCAGGCTGGCCAGGCACCCCAGTGGGGACCCCCACCCTGATCCAGGACACCCTTCAGGGCAAACCAGCCGTCCCCCACCCGTGTACCAGGCCTCTATTCTATATAGTAAAAGGGTAATATGCCTCCCGGCACCAGGATCAGTGTGACGGGGCAGCGCCCAAACCCCCTGATTGCCCTGCGGCTCTGTGTGTGACAGGGTGTGGCGCCCCAACCCCCTGATCGGCCCTGCTCTGTGTGTGACAGGGTGTGGCGCCCCAACCCACCCCCCACGGGCCCTGCTCTGTGTGTGATGGGGTAGAGCCATAACCTCCGCATCGGCCCTGCCCTGAGTGTGACAGTGGCGGTGCCCCAACCCCCTGATCCACCCTGCTCTGTGTGTGACAGGGGGCGGTGTGCCAACTCCCCTATTGGCCCTACTCTGTGAGTGACAGGGGGGAGCTCCCCAACCCCCTGATCGGCCCTGCTCTGTGCGTGACAGGGGGTGGCGCCACAATCTCCCCATCGACTCTGCCTTGAGTGTGACAGGGGGCGGTGCCCCAACCCCCCAATCGGCCCTACCCTGAGCGTGACTGAGGGTGGCATCACAACCTCCCAATCCGCCCTGCTCTGTGCATGACCAGAGGCGGTGCCCCAACTCCCCAATCGGCCCTGCTCTGAGCCCGACCAGGGGCTGCACCTAGGGATTGGGCCTGCCCTCTGCCACCCGGGAGCAGGCCTAAGCCAGCAGGCTGTTATCTCCCAAGGGGTCCCAGACTGGGAGAGGGCACAGGCTGGGCTGAGGCCCCCCCTCCCGCCCCCCCCCCGAGTGCACAAATTTTTGTGCACCGGGCTTCTAGTTTTTAAATAAAGAATATAGTCTCTAGTGTCTTATTAAAAGTGACAGAAGAATATACATCTACTGTAGTTTTATTTTGTTTTGGGGCTGTTCAGCATCCATTTCAGTTTCTTTGGGTAACAGCACCTGAGTTTCCATTTGGAAATGATATTTCTCTCCCAGAATACAGACTGATGGTCAAGCAAGGCCAGTTGGAAATTCTCTGCCTGAAATTTGAATTATGAGCAAAATGATGAAAGGCTGTTAATTATCGGAGTTGACTCATTACAGCATCAGTCCCTGGGGCAACACTGTATTTCCTTCTACTTAAACTCTCTGGAGTTCTTACGTTTCATGCCTGGAGTCCAAGCTTTGCTTCGATACTGTGAGCTTTTCTTTTTTTAATCCTTCCAATAAATTCCCTGTTTGCTTAAGTTAGTATACGGTGATCACAACCAAAGGACCGTAACTAATACACTAATACTTCAGATTAAGCAAAGTAATTAAAGTTGAGCTTGTGACAGTCATAGTATTAGTGTACTGAAACTATATAGGCAATTCTGCTTTTGAGAGGAGAATGAAGCTCTAGCTCAAAAAAATTAAGATGATCTGGAGTGGAGGAGGTCATTGGAGACAGTAAAGTAATACATTTACTTCATAATTTATTTAGAGCTGGGCCTGGGAATGTGAGTTGATTTCTTTTTCCCTCCAGTGTTTTATTGTGAAAATATTTTCAAACATAGCTAAATTTAACAAATTTTACAGTGGACACTTCTATCTATTTTGTTATTAACAATTCACTATATGTGTTTTGCCACATATCTATTCATCCCTCTACTCATCTGTTAATCCATCTTATTTTTTATGATAATTTCAAAGTAAATTCCAGACCTCAGTATACTGGCATTAGTGTACTATATCATATATACATTATGTACATATATATACACACAATGATATACATATACATATCATTAACAAGCGTTGAATATGAATTTAAAGTCTTTTGATGTAAAACTTACATGCAGTGAAATACACTAGTCTCGAGTAATAATTACCTGAGTTTTAACAAATGCATACATTTGTATGGTCCAAACCCCTATTGAGATGTAGAACATTACTTTCACCCCAGAATGTCCCCCTGTGTTTCTTCCTAGGCAATCCATGCCCCTATTACCCCTCTCCCCCTAAAATCAAAAAAATTGATTTTTTTTTTATCATGGAGCTAATTTCCTGTCATTGGGAAACAGGTGAGCCAACAAGACAGCAGCCTGGGCTGTAGAGGTGCTGAAACATTACTGAAAATAATGCCTCGATGGAGAAATTGTATTTGGCACAACGACTCAGGGGTAGAGTGCTGTAGGTGGCTGAAGAGTGCTTTGCCTAGACAAGCACTTGGGGTGGGAGAAATTGGCTTCTGGGAAGCATGCTCTAGTCATAGTCAATGGGACTCTGGTTCTAGGAGAATGCAGGAGGGGCAGACGACTGGCATTCAGTTGGTCTCTCCTTTAGGTAAAGGTTGCACACATCCCTAAGTAATATCTGTTTGAAGATACAGAAATGAGTAGCTACTCGTAGTGTCAAACTATCTGTAAGAGTCCTCAGCTGTTTCTGGGCCTGAAAGGATAGGAAAACATGTGCCGAATAAATGTAGGGCTATTCTGCTTATGTTACCTTAATTACTATCAGGGAGACACAGGCTAGATCTTACTCTTGTCCATTTCTACGGAACTTTCGGCTGAGAAGATTGGAAAGAGGAAGGGGAAGAGGGTGGAGATGGTAGGCCCTGGACAGCAGAAGGGGCTGGCCTGGAGACTGGTGAAGACAGAATACCCTCCCTGGTCTCTAGTCCTTTTCCTCAGAGAAGGTTCCTGATGGTCTGTGGTTGTCACAAATTGGTGAAATTCCAGATTCTGATGTTTTCTGTCTACTTTTCTGCTACTATTTCTTGCCACGTACAGAAGGGTTATCTTTCTACACTGCATAACTCAGTATTAACGTTGCCCCACAGGAACAGGAAGGCTCCTTAGCTCTTCCAAAGAGTAATCTTTACCTGGAAATAAAAATGTGTGTGCTTCAATGAGATATCACCTCACATCTGCTAGGACCCTTATTATAAAAAAGACAAGAGACAACCAACATTTAGTTCTGGACATAATTTTTTTTAAATCCAGGCCTTTTTTTAAAAAAACATAATTTAGGCCCTTTACACTATTTTATTAATTCTAGGAATTTATAGATTTATTCTTAGGTGTTTTGTCAAAATCATAGCGACTATGACTTGCAATACTTTGAGTAACACATTTTATCATATATTTTACATTGTTTTTAACTTTATTCAATTATAAGAAATTTCCAGGTTGTATCTTTTAAGTTCAATTAGAATTTAATTAGAAAATTATTTTCTAAGGGTTCCAACGTATGTTGCTGAGCTCACTCATGATGGGTGTTTAATTATTTTCCCACTCCTGGTCATTTTAGGTTGTTGCCACATTTGATTGGTATAAATAACAGTTTTGCATATATCATTTCCATGTTTTGGCACTTGGATACAAGTATGAAAGGAAGCTGTTGTAAGGGCTATTACTGTTTGCTGAGGGAGGTGTATGCCCTACCTTTCATACACATAAGAATAGGTAGAGAAGAGTAAACAGAGAGAAACTAGCCCATGAAGATAGCAAAGTGTGCCCACTACCTGTTGGCTCTTCTCCATTCAACCAGGAACTCTAAGCCATGGGAACCTATTTTGCAGGAAATAACTGCTGTTCTTTTGCAACTTCATATTTTACATATTTCAATACTTTAAATTACTAAAAATATTATTTTCCATTTTGTATGCATGCTGCTGCCTATTTTACTTCTCTCTCTAATTTTATATTTGATTTCAAAACTTTCATGCTATGTTAATGGTTTAGGTAATATATATTTCTCATTATCTTTATTCATATTACCCTACATGAAGATGCCACACTTTACTATACCTTCATCTGTATTCAGTGTTTTTAAAAAAATGAAGTTATTGATGTCACATATTTTGAAATAGAGCTTTAGAATAGTAACCAGAGTGCCATGCAGCAGGAAGACACAAAAGCATCTGGAGAAGTAGTTTGTGTCTCACTGATTGCCTTTTAAAAGAATTTATTGGTTTGTAACCCAGAGGTTACTGACCTCTCCAGTTGTCAGAAGGAGCACTTCCTTTTAATTCTAAATGAAAGAATCTGAGCCCTCGTTATGTTTGACCACAGGAAAGTTGGGCTTTTCCCATTTTCTCCTCCCCAAGGTCTCTGGGACTCCCTATAGACTACTAGAGTCTCTCCCAGATCATTCCTAGATTTCCCCGCATAGTCGGGCCAGTGACCTTCCTCTGACCTGCATCTCTGATCTTTGGGTAATAATGTATTATTATTACTTAACTGGCTTCCTCAGTTACTTCAGCTTTCCCTGTACAGCTTCAACCTCAGTATGGACGTAGGCCCACTGATTAACCAAACTCTACTAACAGTACTGGATAATGAAGAGAGCGTTGACATAGAAAAGAAAATACTGGATATTACTAGTAGATATGAATATTTCCACGATTTGTAAACTAAATCCTAGTTTCAATCCCAGGATCCTCCAGGACATCTACCCTGTATGGCCACCTTATTACCAAGTTACATATCCCCCCAAATAGGGTGCCCTTGACCTTGTGCTCTGCAAAGCAGGCTAGGCTGGTCATTTCCTCCACAACCTAGCAAAGGGAAAAA